TATGTATGTGTAGTAATGCAATAAGATCCTAGCATTTAGACATAGCTCAATGAATATTTTATTCTTCTATTATTTTGCTTCCGTTCAGGCCCCAATATTGAGTAAACTTTAGGATAACTAAATTGAGGCCTTAAGTCAGGCCGGTCATGTCCAAACTTTTAGGGACAGGTTTGGGTCGTAACAATCTTGATTGCAAGAGAGAGGGAGAGAGAGAGAGAGAGAGAGAGAGAGATGATGAAGCTTGGCTATGACGGTAGTGAGTGGAGATGGGATGATAGGTGGCAAGGTGGTGGAGGAGTGATAGAAAGACGTTGACGGGGAATGGGTGGTAGTGAAAGGTGATGGAAATGAGTTGAAAGGAATCAGCAAAGTATGCTGGCCAGAATTGTGGTGGCTAAGGGTTAGGATTTTGGGAGGTTAAGGTTAGGGATATAAATAAAATTTTGTATAAAGATAAAATTATAATAAAAATAAATAAAAGATGTGGGAAATGCAAAACAAATATTGGATGCTATTAGCTGCACTCAAAATAAAATTTGCCCAAAATTAAAAGGAAGATGTGCGTGGCAAAGTCCAAACACAAACCTATATATACTCATTTTCAGAGCCCTGCCCCTGCTTGAAGCCATTCTTTTAGCGCGTTCTCTCTCTCTCTCTTTCTCTCTATTGAGATTGTGTTTCGATTTTACTTTTTTGTTTTTATTTTTTTTTTTTTTTTTTTTTTTTGGTCTTCATGGTGATTTTTGTTGTGCTGAAACCTAGGGTTTTGGATTATTTATGTGTTTGGCTGAAGATTTTCTGGATTATGTATGTTTTGTAGAGTTTAGGGTTCTGGGTTGTATGTATTTTGTGTAGAGTGGGTCTTCATTGATGAGGGATTTGGGTTTGGAATTGGCAATGATTTGGGTGTTTTTGAATATAATAACAATTCCAACACCAATTTCACAAGATTAGTCAGCCTATTTTGGGAAGTAGATTAAAAGTTGGTTTTTTGACTCTTTTTTTTTTTTTTGATTTTTTTTTTGAAGAAACCTGTACAAAATTATAGAGGTTATGTGATCCAAAAAAAATCAAAAAGCAAAAAAATTGGCTTTTAACCATGTTGCCAAAATAGGCCGAGTCAATTGACTAATTACGTAGAATTTGGATGGTCTAACCCAAACTGGACGTTATTATTGTGTTTTAGGAATGGAAAAATTATCCGACCCATTTTAATAAAAAAAAAGTTTGAAAGAACATTGATAGGGTAGGGTAGGGTTAATTATAGGGTTAGGAAGGTCAAAACTGTGAGGATTAAAGTATAAAATTGTATCACCACAATAGTTGAGTTCAAAATCAAGAATTTGTGAGCAAAATCTGAAAAAAATCTAACCCGTTGCCATCACAAATTGTGTTTTGCGAGCCTATTAGGAGAGCGGCATAAATAATTTAAATTATTCATACGTAAAATCTTTTGAGCAAATTATTTGCACATTTATTAGATTAATTAGACAATCATAACTATATTATCATATCACATTTGTTATTAAAAATTAACAATAAATGTACTAGTTTTCTTCATCTTTTCCACCTGGAATTTAAGTGTATATATATAATTGATTGTATTTAGAAGCTCCCCCATAAAAATATGACCCATCTTTATTAGTTTTCCTCCTTTTCTTCATTCTTTTTGTGTTTTTTTAGATGAAAAAATAAAATAAAAATTGGAGTTTAGTGTTTTTACTCCCTTTTAACCAATTTGGGTTAGGCTGAGAATGCTGCTGTGACAAACAGTGAATGGTTTTTTATGTTACTGTTTTAACTTGCTTATGAAGCCTTGCTGTGGCCCTTTCCCCAAATCTTCCACTAGGAAACTATGACCATTAGACCATGCAGACCTATATTTAAAAAAAGATGCTTTGAGAGAAAATCAAATGAAACATAGCTTAAAAAGAGGGAAGAAAACTAGAATGTGTTCTTTTGTTTTTGTTTACAAATTCTTCATAAATATGATAAATTCTTATCAAATTGTCAACTTGATTGAGTAAAAATGTCCTGCATATGCATTTGTATTAGGTGGTTGGCTAATTGAGTCTAACTGATTCAGTTTCCCCTTTGTACAGCTTGTATTGTATCTGTCAACTACACAAATGATGTGTTCTTACACATGTGTGCTTTTGGTATTGTTGTTGTTTCTTGGTACTAAAGTTGTGCATCATTTGTGCTGCTTAGTTGCTTATATATACAATTTTTTAGGTGGATGTTTTATGATTAAGCCCTGTGCTTAACCTGTGTTGTCATGTCATTCAAAATGCTCTAGACGTCTAAAAAAAAAAAAAAAACCATGTTTTCTTGATTTAGGTGTAATGTCTGTATATTATGTTTGCAATAACTGTTCACTCAGTTTTTCATAGCTCTTTATTGCAACGTCACAACATGGGTAATGCTAGAGATACCAAACTTTCTACTAAACAAATGATCAAATGTTTCACATGGGTTTGTGGACCCCACACCCATGTGAGACATTTAATCATTTGTTTGATAGAAAATTTAAAACCTATAACATTTTCCTCGCAACATTTTGCAATGCCCTGAGTGAATGTTTTTTTGCCCGGCCACTTGTTATCATTGATATATATATATATATATATATGCAAAATAGTTGCCGTGTAAATATAGCCATTTTTCTTTTTCTTTTTTTTTTCTTTTTTTTTGGTCAAATTGTAAATTTTAGTTTCAGTTAAATTTTAAATGTGGGGTAGATCTTTTGAATGGAAACTTGCATCTATGAAGATTTTCCCCTCCCATCACTTGTTTCTAGCTATTCTTTGTTAAAAAGAAATTGTCCACTTTTATGTTCAAGTTGGAATCATCATGGATCACAAGATATGTGTGCTACACTTCCATTACAGAACGGAGGAAACTTTAAGTAATATTCATTAGTTTGATAATGAATCGAGCATGATGACTACATGGATCAATTTAAGAATACCGTATGCGTTGATTTCATTTATGCAGGATGGGGATTGATCAATTTAAAAATTTACGGAAAATATTAAAAAAATAAATAAATAAAATCAACTTTTAGAAAAATGAGTTAAACCAAGCAATATATTTTCTTTTCTTTCCTTTTTTCTCATATTTATCCAAATAAAAAGGGTAGAAATCGCAATCTTTTCAGTTTTCTCAATTTATCAAACCTAGTGTCACCGTATCGTGAGTATTCCCATTCTTACCCATTTAAACTCCGTTTTTTTTTTTGTTTGTGTTTTTTTTTTTTTTTTAGAGTTTGGTGTTGGATTTGGGTTAGGCTAAGATGTTGTGATAAACAGTTATGGCTTTTTATGTGACAGTTTTAACTTGCTTTGTTGGGTTGATAACTAATGTTGAGAATGTCAATTTTATTTTCGACGGGTTATGTAATGAAATGTTCAATGCCTTAAGGTTGTCTTTGATTCATAAATTTGGATAAAGATTTGAAAAGGAAAAAGGAAAATGTGTGTAAAATGTAAGTGAAATATAGACACATTCGGTTCATATTTTACTTATTTTATCTTCTTTTTTTTTTTTTTGCCCTTTCTAAATCACTACCCAAATTTATGAACTAAATACAACTTAATTGTGTAAAATTTAAAATTAGGGTAATGATCACATTGAACTAATAGAATTTAAAATCTTTGGCTATAAATAAGAAATTTCAGTTTTTTATGAGGGCTCTGTAATAAAATCTTTGGATGTATTTATAATTTATCTTTTAAAATAAGAATAAAGAATATTTATTATACTATCCCAACGCAAATTTCACAAGATTTGTCAATTTATAGGACTCAGTCAATTGACTAGCGGGTCAACTTTCCAAAAAAATTATCATAAGTAGAATTTGGATGGTCTATCCGTAATGATTTTTTTTTTCTTTTTTTTTTTTCTTTTTTAAGAATTTGGATTGTTTAACCATAATGATTTTGTAGAATTTGAATGGTATAACCCCAATTGAACGGTATTGTGTTTAAAGATGTCAAAATTATTCGATTCGGTTGTATTTGTCCCAATGTGATTTTAATAAAATAAAATAAAAGTTTGGGGGAACATTGATAGAGTAGGGATGTCAAAACTGTCAGGATTACTGTGAAATATAAAAGTGTATCACCAAAATAGTTGAGTCTAAAATCAAGAATTTGCAAGCACAATTTGAAAAAATTTGACCCGTTGCCATCACTAATTATGTTTTGTGGGCCCATTAGAAGACTAATATAAATAATTTAAATTGTTCATATCACAAGATCTTTCGAGCAAATTATTTACACATTAATTAGATTAATTAGACAATCATGACTATATTATCATATCATATTTATTATTAAAAATTAATAATAAATGTAATAAATTGTATTTTTCTCCTTTTCTTCACCTTTTCCTCCTGGAATTTAAGTATATATATAAGTGATTGTAGTTAGAAGCTCCCCTACAAAAATATGGGTTTGGCTCACGGACGGGAGGGTGCGGTTGGGCCCGTGGGGGCCCTCCACGGGTCTCGTTTCGATAATCTAAACTGTCAATGTGTAAAACTCGTCGAGTACTATATACTTGTAAAAAAATCACGTTAATCGGATATCGATAGTTACTTGATCAAATCAGTTTTGTACCAAAAAAAAAATAAACGGTGAAAAAATAAACAGTTGACAGAAATCTGATCCAATGAAATAATTATCGATATCCGATCAACGTGATTTTTTTACAGACATATAGTACTCTACGAATTCTATACATTGAACGGTTCGAATTGTTGAAATGGGACTCGTGATGGGCTTACATGGGTCCAACAACACCCTCTAGTCCGATCACGGACTGGAGAGAAGCCAAGCTCTAAAAATATAATCAGCCTATAGTACCTTTTCTTCTATAGTGATCTGTGTTGCATTTTGAGACCCATTGATCTAATCACCATCTTTCTCGCTCTCGTTCTACTTCATATTCCGTTCTGTGATCAAATTCCGTGTATTTGAAATTATTTTTTTTCATAAATGGGTATAAGAAACAATCCATACTTATTGTTTTATGTATTCTTCCAATGTTGCTTCTCTTTCATCACCAACCAACTCTCCCTTGGAGCTGTTGACACCATTTCAACCACTCAATCTCTCTCCGGGGACCAAACCATTGTTTCAGCAGGTGGAACCTTCGAAACGGGTTTTTACAAACCAGGTAAGTCTTCCAACTATTACACATCCACGTGGTACAAGTGTCACTTAAAACCATAGTTTGGGTAGCAATAGAGATACACCCATCTACAACAAATATTCCTCAGTACTGAAAGTCTTAGATGGTAACTTAGTGCTTCTCAATGAGTCCCAAACAAAAATGCTAGAGGCCCCAAAAATTCTATCAAAAGTTTTACCAAATGTCTCACATGGGTGTGGGACCCACATTGTGTGGGTCCCACACCCATGTGAGACATTTGGTAAAACTTTTGGTAGAATATTTGGGATCTCTAGCACTACTCAGTCCCAAATCATAATTTGGTCGACAAATCAAAACTTGACCACCACCACTTCTTCAAATTATGTGGTTGCAGTTCTTGGCGACGATGGAAATTTAGTTTTGAGAGATAGGTCTAAATCTAGTTCACACAACCAATTTGGCAGAGTTTTGATTACCTTACTCACACTTGGTTTCCTGGTAGCAAGATTGCACACAACAAGTGCACCAATACACACTGAGTTCTAACTTCATGGAAGAACTCAGAAGACCCTTCATCAGGACCATTTTCTCTCGATCTAGATGCAAATCATAGTCAGTATGTTATCATGTGAAACGGGTCTGAACAATATTGGACAAGTGGTCCTTGGGATGGGCAAATTTTTAGATCAGCACCAGAAATGAGGAGTTATCATATATATAATTTTAGCTATCACGACAATGAGGATAAGAGTTACTTCATATATTCTATCTATGATCCTTCATTTATCTCTAGATTTATTATAGATATTTCGGGGCAAGTCAAGCAACTTGCTTGGTTGGATGCCAACAAGAAGTGGAATTCATATTGGGCTCAGCCAAGGCCACAATGCAAGGTTTATGCTTTCTGTTGGGCATTTGGCACCTGCAATGAGAATACATTACCCTTCTGTAATTGTCCGAATGGTTTCAATCCTTTGTCGAGCAATGAATGGAATTCGATGAGTTATTCTGGTGGGTGTGTGAAGAGAACAAAGTTAGTGTGTGGAAATAATCATGAGAAAGACATGTTTTGGGAGTATCCCAACACGAGATTGCCTAAACATCCTCAGTCTGTTTTTGCAAAGACTGTTGCGGAATGTGAAGCTACTTGTTTGAATAACTGCTCTAGCACTGCTTATCCATATGACAGTAATGGGTGTTCAATTTGGATTGAAAACCTCTTGAATATGCAAAAACTCCTTGAAAATGATGATCGTGGAAGAACTCTTTATATCAGAGTCGTTGTGTCTAAGTATTCAAATGGAAAAAACATCAAGTGGATTATTGGTGTCATTTTGGGTTCAGTTTCAATCGTAGTAGTCTTCTCATTCCTCATTTTTCTTGTTAGAAAAAGGAAGCAAGTAGAAACCCTGTTAGTTTATTGTTCATTGGTTGCATTTAGATACAAAGATGTACAAAAAGCAACCAAAAATTTCAAAGAGAAGATGGGGGGATGAGGTTTTGGTTCTATTTTCAAAGGGAAACAATTTCGAGCAGAAGTCAGCACCCTTGGGACTATCCAACACGTTAATCTTGTCCGTCTTCATGGGTTTTTCTCTGAAGGTAAAAAGAAGCTATTAGTATATGAATACATCAGATTCCCATCTTTTCCATGAAATGGAGTCAAAGGTCTTGGATTGGAAAACTAGGTACCAAATTGCACTAGGGACAGCCAAGGGGCTAGCTTATCTCCATGTAGAGTACAGGGATTGTATCATACATCGTGACATTAAACCAGCAAACATTCTATTAGATGTTGACTTTATCCCAAAAGTAGCAGATTTTGGGCTCACGAAGCTTCTTGGGAGAGAGTTCAGCAAGGTTCTGACAACCATGAGAGGGACAATGGGATATCTTGTGCCAGAGTGGATATTACGGGTAGCCATTAAAAGCAAAGTTGATGTTTATAGCTATGGTATGATGCTTTTTGAATTGATATCAGGGAGAAGAAATACTTCAATCTGAAGCAATTAAATACTTCCCAATATGGGCATCAAGTGTAGTCATAGAAGGAGGCGATGTGCTTAGCCTATTAGACAGTAAGTTGGGAAAACATGTCGTCGTTGAAGAGTTGTGGAGAATTTGTAAACTTGCTTGTTGGTGCATCCAAGATGACGCGAATCATAGGCTATCAATGGGTGAGGTAGTTCAGATCCTCAAAGGGATTTTGGATGTGAACCAGGCTCTTGTTAACGACAACTAAGAGCTTGTCGTTTTCTCTTTTCTTCATAGTGCCACAAAATTCACAATGGGGCAATCCAGTTTCAAGTCTATAACAATAATAGAAAAATGTACTTGAGCACTTCTCTCTTTAATTATATGTTCTGTTTTTATTTTATGTTTTGTGTAAAAGCGTTCGACCATGGTGGTGTGAGGCTTCTTTTGTTACTTGCTATGTTGTGTTTTGTTCTATTATAAATCAATGTGTTGTGTATGTTTTGTCCTATAGGTTTGTAGATTGTTCACTTTTTCATATATATATATATATAAATTACTTTCAAGGTAAATTATACTTTTAACTTTGTAATTATATTTAAATTTTACTTTGATTCCTCGAGTTTCAAATTGAATAATTTGATTCCTACACTTTAAGTCTAATTTTAATGTGGTCTTTTCCATTTTAGTTGGAGGTTAAAAGTAATAGTTTTAAGACACTTGTCAGTTGCTCATGGAAAAATTAACGAAAATTTAGACAAAATAATCAAATTAAAATTAGAATTAAAGTACATAGACTAAATTATTCAAATTAAAACAATAGATAACAAAATGAAATTTGGATCAAATTATAGGTAAAAAGTGTAATTTACCCTCATTTTAGTTATAAAATTAGTCTCCTGATTTTTATATATTTATTTTTTTATATAGGAAATCTCTCAATTTGAAGTAACATTGGATTTATGGTTGTTAAAAAAAATAATAAAATAAAAAAAACAACTTGCCTTGCAAGGCCCAAACACAAACCTATATATACTCCTTTTCAAACCACCGCCCTGCTTGAAGCCATTCTTTTTGCTCTCTCTCTCTCATATAATTCATAGGGTTTGGGATTATTTATGTATTTGGCTGAAGATTTTCTGGATGATGTATGTTTGCAGAGTTTAGGGCTTTGGGTTGTATGTGCTTTTGTTTTGAGTGGGTCTTCGTTGATGAAGGATTTGGGTTTGGAATTGGCAATGCTTAGGGTGTTTTTGGGCATTGATGTTTTGAAATTTGGTTGGCTTCTGGTTTTGTTGAATTTGAAAATTTGTGCTAGTTGGTGTTAATCTCAGCATATGCTGAGTATTCCCATCCCCAACTCTTTTAGCTCTGCATTTTTTTAGATTAAAAAAAATAAAATAAAATAAAACAACTTCAATAGAGTTTGAAGGTCGTAGATTTGAGGAGAGATTTGAAAAAGGAAAGGGAAAATGTAGTTAAAATGTAAATAAAATATACCTATATTTCACCTAATTTCACACCCCTTTCCATTTCCAAATTCATTCTTAAATCCATGAATCAAACACAGCTGAAGAGATTTGGATTAGAATGATTTGTGATAACAGTGAAATGGATTTTTATGCGACAGTTTTAACTTGCTTAAGAAGCCTTGTTGTGTCCCTTTTCCCCAACTTGCACTAGGAAACTATGACCATTAGATCATGCTATTGGCACACCTCTTTTTATTTTTTATTTTTTACGTAAAGCTCGATTTCTTGATTCATTTAGAAAATCAAATGAAACCGTAGCTTGAAAATAAGAAGGAAAGAAGAAAATGTTCTTTTGTTTTTGTTTACAAATTCTCCCTACATATGATAGATTCTTAGTGAATAAGTAATGTTCTGCATATGCATTCCTATTAGGTGGTTTGGCTAATCGAGTCTAACTGATTCGGTTTCCCCTTTTTACAACTTGTGTTGTATGTGTGAACTACACAAATGATGTGTTCTTGTATATGTGTGCTTTTGGTATAATTATTATTTCTTGGTAGTAGATGTTTGTGCATCATTTATGCTGTTTAATCGCTGATGTTCTTATATCATGCCCTACTTCATTCCGTTTCATCTGCCTTTTGTTTTCTGTTCACCTAAAGAATCTATTCTTTCATTGATTTTGCTTTTGGGATGCAATTCTTTTTCTTTGTTGTTTCTTTCACGCTGTGTTTGGTTGGAGAATTTGAAGAGGAATTTCGAAAAGGAAAAGGTGTGTGAAATTAGGTGAAATATAAATATGTTTTATTCACATTTCACCTACCTTCTCCATTTCCCTTTCCAAATCCTTCCTCACATCCCCCAACCAAACACAACATCAAGGTTTTTGTTTTTCTCACCAACTTGTGGAATGGGTTCCATGGTTTGTTGGCTAACACTTCACCCTCGAAGAGACCCGTCTGTAAATAATTTTTGTTGTACAGATTCTGCAGAATTTAAGGACAATTGGTGGCTCCCCACGTTGTCCTTCTGTTGCAGGAAATAGCAACCTTGGTAGTGATAGGTGCCTTTCCTCAATTGTGTCATAAATTATTATTATTAGATTTGTGTTTAGTATAGAAGAACTGGATGGTGATTTTTAGTTTTGTGTTTTGGCTATTGTTATTCTGTTGTTGCCTATCAAGGAGTTTATTAGGATTTCTTATTAAGTCGCCGTTTGGCATTAGCTTTTTTAATTGGTTTTTTTGAGTTGGGATTTTTTTAGCTTAGGACTAAAAAGTTCATTTGATTTAGCTTTTTTGGCTTTTTTTTACTTTTGTGAGAGAAAAAGTGAAATGATTATGATTTGGATGTGACATTTTATCTTATTGACTTATTTAGCCTATTTTATCTTTTGTGTTTTTTTTAACCCAACTAAGTTAGCCGAAGGCTAATTCTAGCTGATTTCTCCTGGTTGTTTTTTCCTTTGGGTAATAATGGTAGAGTAACTGCAGTTTCTTCACCCAAGATAAGTTGCAAAGATGTTGCATGTTGTCATGAATCAGACCTGAGAAAGCAAAATTATTTTTTCTTCCGTGGTTCTTGACAGTTTTGTTTTTTGTTTTTTGCAGGCTTTTTTCAGCAGTATATAATATAGTTGACCTGCAGTGCTTGCTCAAGCTTAAATCTAGGCTTGTTTACTGATTCTGATCATGTAAAACAAGCTATCAATCCATCAGTTTCAGGGCTTAGGCTTGAGCTACGCCGGCTAACCAGCAGGTTTTGTAAGGAGGGGTTAATGTGTGTATATTTAAGAACACCATGTGCCTGTTTGATATGATTTATGTAGGATGGGGATTGATAATACCATAAAGTTATGGTTGAGATTAATAATATTTGAGAAATTGCATAAGATTATATTATATACTAGTAAAGTATTTGTATTGTATTTGATTAAAATAGGATATAAAGTATTATTTTTTTTATATTAGATAGAGGCATAGTTAAGATGAAATTTTAGCAAGAAAATTATTATGGTTGAGTAATGAATAAAAAAGTTGTAGTTTTTGCAACAAAATAAAAAAATAAATAAATAAATAAAAGAGTGAAAATGAACTTACCATATTGATATGAGTCTTACAAGAATTTTAAATTTCTTAAAAAAATTCACCACTTCCTTTCCAAACAAATGCACAAAAAATTCATTTATTCCAAACCCTACACTTCTTACTAATTTTATCCTAACAAAACTCAACCTTAATGAACATCATTGTGAAAAAATGACGATCAATATTATTTTATCCTAACAAAACTCAACCTTAATGAACATCATTGTGAAAAAATGACGATCAATATTCGAGCGCTTAAGTTTTTTTTTTTTTTGATAATCAGATAGCATAATTGTGACAAATTGACGATCAAAATTCAACTCCCCCATCCCTAGAGAGAGGCCAAAATAATAATAATAATAATTAATCAATAGATGATTTGATGAGCAAATAGATCTTCTAAGGGTTAATTTCATTCCAAAGCATCTCAATAATGTATTCTCTAACTTCAATATGTATTACAATTTACATATAAAAGATGACTGACAAATCCAAAAACTTCTAAACTGGCATCCCTCTGAGAAGCAACTGTAGACATACAGTTCCTCACAAGGCCACAATGAATTGTAGCAAAGCCCACCCTCCAAAAACCATATTTTGGCTCTTTGCTGATGAGTCAGTGAGTTGGGTCCATCTTAAGATGAAAGTGACATGTTTTAGATATTTTACATGATATATTACTCTACCAAAGGTGGTGGTGTAGCCCCCACAGATGTGAGAAATCCCCTGCCAATAATATCTCATCCCTTCACTTCCTTTTAGCCAAGGGAGATGAACAAGGAAGTCAATTTCAACCTAAAAAGTTATTTGGCATTTTCACATGCCTCACTGATATTTCATCACTTGTTCTACGTACATAGAATGAGTATCAAAAAAATCTTTCAAAAAAAAAAAAACACCCTTGTAGTCGTGTGAGTTAGTGGATCCTACCTTTTTATTTGTTTTTTTCTTCTACGCCCATGCTTCATTTTTTTTTCAAATATATATATATATATATATTTAATAGTTTAGTGGGGTTCAACATTTTAAGTAGCTCAAGAAATTGAAATTGGTTAAGTGATAAGTTATTTGTACAAAGCCTACTAACTAAGAGGAGCGAAAGAGAAGGCAGGGGAGGGGGACAACCCCTAGCCAGAAAGAGTATGAAAAGGGAAAAAGGTGAAGAGAGGAAGAGAGATGAGAAATTGTTGGGATTCACTTTTATATATAAATACTTATTATTTACTTGACACACCTCTTAACTATATACCACTGGCCGATCTAAAAAAAAAACTATACCACTGGAGTACTCACTCATGGTCTAAACTACAGACGCTTGACACACAAATTTGAGCCCCATTCTACACATTTTTACTTAGCTCATTGGAGATGCTTTTATTACTGACGTTTATGTTGACCTCTCAATATTGATTGCTAGGGTTTTGGACATGGGTGTGCTTTACAATAATCTTCTTTAGTGAAAATATGCGCACACGCACATATGTATATATAGAGAGAGAATTGCGCATATGGGACACACATATATGTTTATATATATATATATTGAGAGAGAGAGCGAGAGAGAGAATTGGGCACAGAACTGGGGAAAAATCAAAGAAAAAGATCCCAGGGCATTTAAAGTAACTACATGGAAATAAGTTTCTATTCAAATCATGTCCGAACAGTTTTGGATATTTGAAAAAAGCCAAGAAAAAAAAAGTGCTATACAAGAGAGAAGGTAAAATCACCTTCAAGAATATGCCGAGAAAGGACCACTAGATACTTTTAAGGAAGTGGTCCATGGCTGTGTTTTGTTTCCCTTTTCTCCAGCACGAGGAAAGGAACAATTGGTAAAATTATCAGCATGTCTCTACAACCTGGACGACCAAGAAATTTTTATGACTTCTTTGAAATGATGAATAGTCACAGTACAACCATAAATTTGTGACTTACATGAACATTTGAGGGCGGCTACGAGAGAGCTGAGGCCGCTTTATTGGAGAAAGGATTAGGTTCCTCAAAGTCATTGAGGGGTTACTGGCCCCACCACCAAAAGCGGGCCGAGAAGTGGTCCTTCTGTTACCAGCATCAATTGGAACAGCTGATTGTTTTGCTGGTGAACCACCAGAGATGTCGAAGGGGCCAGAGTTAGAGCTGTTCTGCCTCGCTGTAGGCCATATATCCTCTCTAGGCCCTGGAGTTTCAGGAGTGTAAACCGACCAATCTGCATCAAATAAGTCATCTAGTATTTCTTGGAAGAATGCAACCAACAGTGGACACCATTAAAGGGCTAATAAATGTCAACTCCGTCCATACTTAAGGCTGCGTTTGGATCATTAGCTTATATTTCATTGATATTTCCCTCACATTTTCCTTTCCCTTTCAAAGTTCCCACCCAAACCCATTATCCAAACACAGCCTCAGAGAACTCCAGATACTAGATGTTCTAACACCAAGTAGGCTGTACAACTACTTTCAAATACTATTAACAGAAACGGGATTACCTTTTCTGATAGGATCTCTGTTATCAATCATGTTAGGTGGATTTGAGAACAAATCAGACTCGGTTCTTGAATAGAAATTGCTTCCAGGTTGGATGGCTGATTGTTTCATTGTATCATATTCGCTTCTCAATTGATCATACATTTCATCAAGCTTTCTCTTTTGTCTGGTATTGGGAAATAATAGTTCATGTCAAGGTTCATGCACTGAAAATATAAATCTGAATAAGGTTTGACACATTGATGATGTCGAAGACTGACCTGGATTTCTCAGAAAAATTTTCTTGGAGCTCTTGCTTATCCTTGGTTAAGTTCTCAATCTCTTGCTCTAGCATCTGGCACCTCTTGGCCATTTTCTGGTATGCAGTGTGCACTTGCTCCAGTTTTTCTGTGAACTTTTCTTGCATTGTCTCACATTTCTGCCTGCACTGAGCTACTATTCTGTTCATCTTGAATTGCATTTCCAGTTCCTGTTGCCCGATGTAGAACATCACACTTCTGTATGCACTCTTCATCACTAGATATGTTCAAGGAAAGATGTGGGTCCAATGTGTATTTTAACCAAAAATTATAAAAAGTTCCGAGCCCTCTACACTCCATTTGGGAACTACAAGTATTACATAGGGTGCCTAACCGTTCTCGTCTTCTTTTCTTTCTTCTTTCTTCTTTTTTCTTTTTTCTTTTTTGTCTTTTGTCTTTGTCTTGGGATATTGATATTTGCCACGGCAATAATGGCTGCTTCCACAGCCTCATAAAAGGATAAATAGGCTGTAGAACAGCCACACACCTGTCACAAATACCCTCCAGTTTTTGCCACTATGCCACTCAATACTAGATGAATTCTGAATAGGGAATGTTAAGAGGAATATACACATGTATACATATACATGTAATGAGACAACATTCATTGGAAGTAATAAAGGACACAAATCTGTGGAGATATCCCTGCCATAGCCATCTGCAAAATAACATGTAAAAGGTCAAGCAAAGTACAGCTTATGGTGATCTCTGTTTGAAATAGCAGTAAACTAGAGACGCTCAAGTAACTGAGTATTTAATTGAGGAGTGCTTGCTTACGTTTATCCATTCATTGTTCGGATTGATATCCACGGGTTTCATAAGACTGACAAGTGAACACCATTTCCAGTTAGAAGGCACAATTTTTTTTTTTAAAATGCTATAGATGCTTAAGATGTTAAATGCTATAGATGACCAGTGACTTATATATTTGCACAACAGCAACTCATGGCCAAAGGGAAAGAAATCTAGGGGAAACCCATACTACCATCACTCCATTAAATAATTAATCAGTAGGCTGGATCAATCCTTTCCCTAAACTCTCATGCAGTTGTAGCAATCTGATGCTTTAAGAATTCACATGCAAAAGAACATGTTTAAAATTCCAAACCGTGCCATCAGAAGCCACTGACCTCTTGGATAGCACTTGATCACAGATGGGGCAAGACGCATCATTACTGAGGATCTTGCTGGCATCTTCGGTGCCTTTTAACACTGTTAAGGAAACCTCGAGCTAATGCACCAATTCTACAGTAAAGATATATAGAACTTCAGAAAATAAAAAACTATTATATGCATCTAGATACACAAGATGTGGCCACAAGTGGTGGAAATGGCTCGCCCTTCCAATTCTCGCCAGCATGCATTGCATCTCATTTCAGCTTTCAGCAATGATCCCTAAATTTCATGCTATAGGTTGGAACCTGGAAGACCTGTACGTTAATCACAACTAAAGATATGAGCAAGACTCTCCTAGTAGTTTATATGCAGCTATTGTGGGTTTCACGATGATACAATATGATTAGAAGACCAGGAAAGGATTGGTAATTTGGTACTACAAGTAAGATTATTTAACCAATGGTTTCAATCACAGGGAGTCTAGCAATATTCAGGACATGGGATCTAATCAATTCAGGAGTTGGAAACTGAAGCAAATGCATATGTGGTTTCAAAATGCATGATTACTTGATTAGTCAAAGCTAGTAGACAAGTTGGACTCGGACACGAAACAGATTAGGCTGAAGTAAACATTTTGCAAAGATTCAAGATTCCAATCTAGATGAAGAATTTTAAATTTAAATTCCCAAGATCTGCTATAGTCATTTGTGAATTCAGCAATTTAGCCAAACCTACTTGTTTACGGCCCTAATCTCACATTGTTTTGTTTTCTATTCAATTACTAAACTCAGCTCAATCACAAGTTCATACTGCTGCAATCAGAATCACAAGTTAACCCTAATGCAACGCACAATTTCAGATTTCTGCCATCTCTGCAAGCTTTTTGGAGCCAATATCTGAAATTCCAAACAGAAATTGAAATCACAGAAAAACTGATCGCGATGTTCAATTAGATTTGAATTTCAAGCCCAAGGTATAAAAAAACAATTCAGTGGAAAAACCTAATCAGAACTCCGGAATCTCGGATTCTGCACAGCTTCAAGAACAACTACCTGTACGATCAGAGCATGCAATAAATCAAATTTGACCACCGAAAACGTAGGTTTGACTATTTGGGGGAAAGTAAATTTCTCAACACTGGAGTGGTGTAGATGCTTTGTGATGAATCAAATCTTCAATTTTTGAATGAGAGAACTCGAAATCGAAACAACGAACGATTAAATTGTTGAAAAGTCCTCTCTCTCTCTCTCTCTCTCTCTCCCGATTCGAAATGGCGGCAAAAAGGAGTCCTGCTTGACTTGTGAGGTTAGTGACCACGTGGAATTGTGAATATAACACAAATTATCATAAATATTTTTGAGAAATTATGGCTCTGTTTGGTTGTGCTCTGAAATTAATTTTCTACCCGTGTGTTTGAGTATGATGTTTGGTTTCCGTTTCAAATCAATTTTCTACACGCTGCAGAGAGAACTCTGCGCATCAGACGCCTTTTTTGTCCACCCGGATGACCACCCGGTAGACCACCCGGATGTCCGGCTGGTTCCAGATTTTTTTTTTGCAATTGATTTATATAATCGGGACAAATATTTTCTGAAAATTTTTAAATTTTTTATGTGCTTTAAAATAATTTTGAATTGTATGTTTAGTTATGAGTTGTAAATTTTTGTATCACATATCAAATGTCACATCAATAATTTCCCACTCAAATCAAACCTCTTTTCCAAAACTATTTTCAAAACTCTTTACCAAACAAATTTTCTACACTCAAATCATAATTCCACAACACACAAACTCAAAATACAACTCATACTCTCAAATCACATTTACAAAACTCTACCAAACACTACCTATAATTTTAACAAAAAAAGGTAGAAGTAAAAAATATTTTCAAAATCTCTGGTTGCACGTGATTTATGCATTAAATTTGTATAAATAAATAGTAGCATAATTATCCGTGCATAAATAAATAATTAAAAATTAATTTTTAAAATTAAATAATAATCAAAAAAATTATCTATATTATTTAGCAAAAACGATTTAGAATCAATTAAATTTATTCATTTTTATCACAGTTATATATAAAAGTTTTTATTTTTTATTTTTTATTCTTATGTCATTAATTGTGTACTCAAAGCTCTTAATAACAAATATATGTCATAATTTAAATAGTAAAAATTAAAAAATAAATCACAAAATTTATATTTATGACAAAATATAAATACATTTTGTCTTATGAGTTTCATAAATTTAATTTATCATATGATAGTGATAAATTACATTTGTCAGTATAGTAATTTTTTTCATATTTTGTGAAGTCTAAAAATTATAATTTGTCGTATGTTATAAAATTTACGTAAAAATGAATTAGGATTCACTTGTGATATTAAATTTGGGCTTAACATTAAATTTACGTTAACTTGTCTTTCACCTAATCATTAAAAATTGTCTTGCTCTGTTCCCAACTTATATAAATCATTTGACCTATCTATTGATTAAATTAGTAGATAAATATTTTTTTATAATAAAAATAAGAAATATTGACTTATTTTATGCATACTTATTAAAAAGTTTGAACTATAGTTTTAAAATATATATATATATATATATATATATATTTATGTTTAAAACAATTAAATGAATAGTTATATATATTTATGTATAAAAAAATTATTTAAGATAAATTCACCCTAAATTGTAGGTCATATTTTAATCCTAATAAATTTAAATTATATCATAGTTTATCAATTCGTGACTGATATGAGCTAATTTAGGAGTTCTAATATTGAATTAAACACTAAAAAATTGCCAAGAAAATTTAGTTCAAGTCGATATTTTTGGCCAATAATTCTTGATTTAAGCTTAATTCTTAGAGAATCACTTAATTCATGTCCAATCCATGAGTTAGTAGACCTGCCTATTTATTTAATTTTTAATTAGTAAATATATGTTTTTTAAAAAAAATTATAACAAAAATAGGAAATATGATTTATTTGGTATATTTATTAAAAATTTCAAAATTAATTAAGAAATTATGTACTTATTCTTAAAAGGATAAATTACACTAGTAATCCCTATATTTTAACTCTTGTGTTATTTTTGTCCTTGCAATTTTAATTTGCTTAATTTTAACCCTAAATTTATAATTTTGTCTCGATTTGGTTCAATTGTTATAATTGCTAGCTTTTTTTTTTTATTAAAAATACGTACATGAATGACATCTGTTATACTTTTATAGAAAAAATTATAAACTTCTTCAACTCAATAAATTAATCTCAACTAATTCAATAACCATTTTCTTTCAAAAATCTTAACCGGCATTATCAATTGGACCAAATTAATACAAAATCTAAAATTAAGGATAAAAATCAAACTAATTGAAATTGCAGAGACCAAATTGATACAAGAGACAAAATGCAGGACTATCGATATAATTTACCTTTCTTAAAATATGTCTAACATTGATTGTATCAATATTAAGATATATATATTTAGGATCAGATCAGGCTAAAACCTGAATAAAAAAATTTATTATTTATTTTTTTTGGTTATCGATCATATAGTTATTGATATCTGATTAATGTGATTTTTGGTAGGCATGAAATACTCAACAAATCTTACAAAATGACGGTTCAGATCATAAAAATAAGTTCATAATGTACCTCAAATTGAGGCACAACACCCCAATTCCTTGGATCATGGAGTCTATTGTTTGGTTGCAAATTGGTAGACTGGATTAGGAATCCATTTGGACTATCAATTTAACATATGTTGGATTATTATATCTTAGGGGATATCAAATAGAACTGGATAGATAATTATCCCATGAGATTAAATTAAAAAAAAAATTATGGGTGTATATGAAGTGAGGGTGTGCTGAGAAACCCAAGTGTGTGTACTAAGAAATCTGTTTGTGTGTGCATGTGTAAGTGATGTGCTGGAAGCTTGACCAAGGTGCATGTGTGCAATGTGTCAACAAGAGAAGTGCATGTGTGTGTGTATAACTAAGGAGTTAAAGGTGTTTGGGCTAGCAATTGATGAGTATGTGCTGTGAGAGTCCTAGAGGGAGAGAGAGAGAGAGAGAGAGCCGAGAATGAGAGAGAGGGAGTGAAAAATAAGAGAGTATTGAAGCCTATTCAATTTTCTTTGCTAGAAGGAATTTCATGGGAAGCTAAAAAATTAAAGAAAGGAAGATCTTGAAGGCTAATAGGTAAGAAAACCCTCTCAACCTTCTCATTTTTTTTTTATATAATTGAAATTTTCAGATTGTATACATAGGATACATTGTCTAAATTATTTTAAATCTGCCCGCATGTTTACCTGAATTTTTAGATAATTTTATATTCAAAATTTCGAGATGATTTCTTCTAAAAAGTTGTTGATAATGATGTCTAGTTTGTCCAGAAATTTTTGGAAATAATTTTTGAGCTTTCTACGAATTTATACAAATTTTTAACTAAATTTGAAACTGTGTTGAGAATAAATTGTTTTGAATCTGCCAGCATGTTTACCCGAATTTTTAGATAATTTTATACTCAAAATTTCGAAATGATTTCTTTTACAAAGTTGTTAATAATGATGTCTAGTTTGTCTAGAAAGTTTTGGAAATAATTTTTGAGCTTTCTAAGAATTTATACAAATTTTTAACTAAATCTGAAACTGTGTTGAGAATAAACTGTTTTGAATCTGCCAGCATGTTTACCCGAATTTTTAGATAATTTTATACTTCGAGATGATTTCTTCTACAAAGTTGTTGATAATGATGTCTAGTTTATCCAGAAATTTTTGAAAACAAGTTTTGAGATTTTTACGAATTTATACAAATTTTTAACTAAATCTGAAACTGTGTGACAGATTTTACCATGTATTTGAAAATTTATTTAAAATTTTATACTAAGCCAAATCTGGTAATTTCTAACTAAAAGATGAAATTTGAGAAGTCTAGTTTCATGATAAATTTTTAGATTATGGGTTTGATCTATAAATTTAAGCATGGAATTAATATAAGGAAATGTGACAAATCTGTGTCTTAAACACCCTTGGAATTTTTAAGAATTATTTATAATTTATTTTTGAAAAATGCTTTCTGAAAAATGACCATAACATGTTTATGGATTATTCTGTAGATTAATATGAATTTTAGAGTTGTATAAGTAATGTATTTAGAATTTTACTTGCAAGATATATATTCTGAAAATTTTTCAGGGCAGGATAAAATCACCACTTTCATATTATACTAGTCTAATTTAGTAAATCAAAAATTTGTGCAGGTGTGCATTTATGGTTTATTTCTTGTATTTAAGTTATTATGTTCATACCATGGTTTTAAGTAATTATTTACTAAATTTTGTACATTGAACTATTATTGGGTGACATGCATAATATTTTATATTGGGAGTTTTTCTTTAGTTGGTATAATGTTATTGGTGATTGAGATTTGAATAATTTGTGTTTAATATATAAATTAACCAAAAGGATTAACGGTATATAATGAGTTACTGATGAAGGGTTAATACCGGGTATTCAGGGTGAGCCCTGGTTTTGAGAATTCTCGTGTAAATTGTGTCGCGAAATCCTAAGATGGCACGGGACTTATGTGAACCCTTTTCGGTATTCGGTTTTGGAATAAGAATGAATGTGCAGGTGGCACACGGGGAGGTTACGTACCCCTGGCAGACCGGTTCCTTGGGGCAGACCACGGATGCCACTACTTGGGTATATAACTCCGGACGTGGGCATCACTGGTAGTTACGATTGGTAACACTTAAATATTTGACCAAGGGAGGGTTTCAAATTAACCGTTGTCATGCTTGGTGATTGGTAAGTTAAATCTCTGTGGTGAGATTTCGAGTGTCACCTAATTTATTAAAATTACTAAAAATTATCCTAATGGTTGTAATTTATGTGTACAATTATATTATTATCTCATGTTTAGAATCTTATTATTTTTCTCTTAAAAAGAATGGTAGGTTGGTTATGTTTTCTTACTGTGTTGCAAAACTCATGGCATATATTTTGTTGCCCTGGCGTTTCATGCCAGATTATGCCGAAGAAGGAACCGAAGCTGAAATGGGAGTTGTTGCTAATATCGAGCCTTGGCTAACTTAGAGCTAAGATCTTATCAAAATAAAAGCATGTTATTTCTTGTATTAGTATTTAACTATGTTGTGATGTTGTGTGTAAACTTGTAGTTTTATTTGGTTGTTGGACTTTGACTATGTAAGAATTTAAAATTTCCTAATTAGTAGTTAAAATTTTATCTAGCAAGTTATTGTTAGTTAAAGTCTTATGATGTCTCAAAAAAAAAAAAAATTTGGGGCGTCACAATATATATATCTGAAAAACTATTTAGGACCAGATCAGGCTAAAACCTGAATAAAAAAATTTATTATTTATTTTTTTGGTTATCGATCATATAGTTATTGATATCTGATTAATGTGATTTTTGGTAAGCATGAAATACTCAACAAATCTTACAAAATGACGGTTCAGATTATAAAAATAAGTTCATAATGTACCTCAAATTGAGGCACAACACCCCAATTCCTTGGATCATGGAGTCTATTGTTTGGTTGCAAATTGGTAGACTGGATTAGGAATCCATTTGGACTATCAATTTAACATATGTTGGATTATTATATCTTAGGGGATATCAAATAGAACCGGTGAGATAACTATCCCATGAGATTAAATGGTAAAATAATATATTTGACCTCTAAGTATTTGATTTAATTATGTATTATATTTAAATGGTAAGTTTTTCTTGATATTTTATTTATTCAATTTTAAAAAAAAAATTATTTAATTTTTTAAAAAATAAAATAAAAATTATTTAATCTAACCAAAAAAAATTAAAATATTAAAGATAAATGTAATATTGATATTATTTAGTAAATAATTAAAAAAGTAAAATAATTTTTTGAACATTTATTATTTTTTATAATATCTTAATCAAATGTTGGATAAGTCTCATTTAACAATAAATTATTTTAATAATTTTTACTTTTTATAGAAAATTATATAAAAAATAAAAAGTGACATAATAATTTATAATAATTTTTTAATTAAAACTAAAAGTTGGCAAATAATCATTCTCAAATAATAGTGGTCCCACCACAACTTATAATAATTTAAACAAAAAAAAAAAAAAAAAGTGTGGAGACGAGAGCTTGGTGTCAAACACGACAGAGTCGCGTCGGAGGAGAGATGTCAAGTCAAGATCCTCTCACTTTTTTTTATATTTTTTATTTACAGACCATTGCGACTCACTTTAGGCTAATTTTAAATTTGAATGTTTATATTTTAAGATTTGTTCAGTATATTAATGTAAAAAAATAAATTGATCGAAATCAGAAGTATGTGTTTTGAAAAATCAAACTATTTTTTTAAATTTAATAATAATTTTCCGACACATAATTTTTATAATCAATACTTAATTTTTTACAAATATAATAACTGAACAAAATCTTAAATATAAACAATTTAAATTAAAATTAAAAATTAACTCAAAGTGTCCAATACCCTCAATAAGAAATGATGAAGGGAGGATACTTGCTCAGAGATGTCTCTAGAGCCACAGCCAGCCAGCTCAAGCGGTCCCAGCAGTAAACACACTAGAAAATCGACGCGTATACAAATAAAATTAAATTGAGTTTGGTACTCTTAAAAAAAAATTAAAAAGTATTATTATAATTTAAATTATATATTATTTTATATATTTTATATTAATCACTTAAATCAAATATATTTTATAAAAAATTAAAAATAATTTATTTAAATCATTTAAATAATCCTGAAATCAATTGTCAATAGCCTCTTAAAACAGTAGTACTACATTTCGTTGGTTTAAATTGTACATGTTAAATAGCCAATTATCAATCTAGTAACCATCGCAATTAATAAAAACGATGCCAATTTCTAGCCAATTGTCCAAACCGCCGATATTATTCGGACTCCCTTTACGTCGGTGGACCAGACATTTTTTTCCTCCTAAAATATCGGCTGGCATCGTAATGTCCATCTTCGAATCTCACTACATGTCTCTGTTCTTAAACCCTCTCTCTCTCTCTCTCTCTCTCTCTTCCTTTTCTCCATTTACTCCTAAAACCCGCAACTCCTTAGATTCTCTCTCTCACCATATTGATAGATCTCATCTGAACCCTAGGGTTTCCTCAGTTTCTCTCTCACCTCCCCGATTTATAGAGGACGATGAAGATTCAGTGCAACGTTTGTGAGGTTGCAGAAGCGAACGTGTGTGTTGCGCAGATGAGGCGGCTCTGTGTTGGTCTTGCGATGAGAAGGTTCACGCTGCCAACAAGCTGGCTAGCAAGCACCAGAGGGTTTCTCTCTCTGCATCTTCCTCTCCCATGCCAAATGCGACATCTGTCAGGTATATTTCTTCATTTCTCATCTGGGTTTTTAATTGTTTTATCGATTGATCCACTCTTTTTTTTTCTTTTTTTTTTTCAATTATATCTTATAGAAAGCATGTGAATTGCTGAATCTGTTTGTTTAGTTTTGATGGTACTGGTTTTGTTTTTTTGATTCACCAAGGTATTCATTTTCAGTCTTTGTTATGTACACTGGAGGGGATTTTGATGTTTGGTATTTTATTTGTTTATAGGAGCAATTTATTTCACTCTTGTTTTTTTTTTTTTTTAAATTTATTTTTTATTCTTTTATACTATGTTTGGTTACTTAAGAGAGAAGAGAAAAAGAAAAGAAATGATTTAAGTTATAAGAGGAAAAAAAGAAAAGAAAAGAAAAGAAAAGATTGTGATTTCTTTCCCTTTTTGTTTGGATAGATAAGAGAGAAAAGAAAAGAAATGATATTGATTTGGATTAATTTTCCTATTTGGTGGTGTTGTGAAAATTGTTCCCTGAAAAATAAAAGTACAATCAATTTAATTCAGCAAGGCTTGAGCTCGATTATGTTGGAGTTTTAAAGGATAAATGGATATGTCTTCTCAAGTTGGCTTGGTTGGCTCTATGTAAAGCCATATTGTGATTTATATCTAATGCAATCATGACGTTTCTGATTGTCAACCAAACAAGAATGATGTGGAAATGCGCTTGAAGAGCAATTCAGACAACTATGTTTCTTAATTTCTATAATTAAAAAAAAATATGCAATTTTCCTCAAATTTATTAAGGACTTGATTGGTTTTCATTACGTAAAACATTGGAAGTTCATTGGAATGCATGCAATAACCTAAACCACACCCAAGTTCTTTTCCTTGCCGTTGGAAATCCATCATGTGTTACCCTGGTTGGAGTGGCAAGATATGACCATAGAATAGAGGTTTTCTTTAGGACTCACATTTACAAATTAGCTTACTATGAGGAATACAGTTCTAATTGGTGCACTAAATTTACTTATAATTCAGATGAAATCATGATTTAACGTTTTAATCAGGTTCAATCTTGTTTGATTTGAAAGTGATAACAAATGATATCCTTTCATTTATGCACTGTCCTGGTTGTAGGCTTGTTTTTGTTCTCTTGGTAGTGATAATTGTTGTTTGGGCTTTGCTTTGCCTCGTATTTCAGACAAGTTTGTTGATGGAACTATGGTCATTCTTACACTTGGTTTGAGCTTGTTAAGTGTAAATATGAACTATATTGGTCTTTATATGATACAAAAGTGATTGTTGGAATTTTCTTTGGTGGTCATCATCGTCAGCGTCGTCATCATCATCATCACAAGCTCTGAACACCCTCTGTTGTTGCTGGGGTTGAATAGTTTGAGTGTTCCTCAGTTTTTCTTAAAGAAAAGAATGTTAACAACCTTTAACCTGGTAGTGTTCATATTGGCTATTCTTTCTAGAATCATTTTCAACACTGAGTTGGAAACAGGCAGTGGGGTGTTATGAAGACATGCATTTGTGAATGCTATGAAAAGTCGTGTATACTTGCACAAAGCACACAGATCACAAAAGGAGACCAATAGTATAACAAGAAGGGAGTCATTCCATTATCAGGTTGCAATGAACACAGAAATTAATTATAACCCAGTAGATTTGATGTATGTATTAGTAGGTTCTGTTGAAATTCCAACAAAAAGAAAAAAGTTACATTGCTGCAGTCCTGATTTAGTGCTGTCTTTCCCAGAGGTACAACCGTGTGGTTGTGGGTTCTAGTAATGGGAATGAGCTTATCCACACGCACAAAAAGTGGGAGTTAGGCTGCCTACCTACTATCCCTCACAAGCCTTGTTCTAAGTGGGAGCTTTGTACACTTGGATACGACTGACCATTCATAGGCTGTAGGTTTACGCTGCCCTGCACGAAAATATTTCTTCCTCTTCCCCATCTTTTGCTGACAAATTGATTTTCTTTCTTTTGAAATAATTAATTAGGAAGTTATATTTAATTCTTTGAAGTTGTGGTAAAAGAGATTGGGACACAAGGCTTTTGTTTGGTTTGTGATAAAAGAATTTTCATCCCTTACAGGAGACAGTTGGCTATTTCTTTTGTCTCGAGGATAGAGCTTTACTGTGTCGGAAATGTGACGTTGCCATACACACAGCAAATACCTTTGTGTCTGGTCATCGGAGATTTCTACTTACAGGAGTGAAAGTAGGGCTCGAACCCACTGAACCTGGTGTGTCTGCTTCCTCAGGGAAGGCACAGTCTAGTGAGAAAATCTCAGAAACAGAATCTCGTTCTGTGTCTAGAAAGGGTACCCCAATGCTGTTGACTGGTCAGTATAACAAAGTATCACCTGTCCAAGTTGCTGGGGTTGTGGATTTTCAACCAAGTAAGTTGCCATTGGCTGGAGGATCCACAGCTGGAAGTATTCCACAGTGGCAGTTTGATGAATATCTTGGACTAGCTGACTTCAATCAGAACTATGGCTACATGGATAACAGCTCTTCCAAGGTGTACTTCTAAGTCTTACTGCATTTTTTCCTGTTCATTTCATGAATACCCGCAAGCACTGTCTTAGCATGCAAATCCGTAATATATTAAGCCCACAAAACTCAGAAGCCAGGAGTCACCATATTGCGTTTATGTTCTCAGGAAACTTGCTCACTGAAAATTTTCTTCCATTTTATTGATTTTATTGGTTGGAAAAATACTTTCATCCGTGCTTTTTTTTTTTTTTTTTTTGAAAAACAAAAAAAATGCTTTTGTATCTCAGTCCTTGATTTTTCAAGTTTCTTTACACACACACACACACCAAAAAAAGAAAAAAGGTTTCAAAAAAAAAAAAAAAAAAAAAAAAATCTAACACAACTCACATATTGTGATTATTAGGTGTAACTTCTATTTTAAGAGTAGTCAACTTAATAATTTTAAGAGTAGATTAGTGATAACATTTCTCCCTCTTTTTCTCTGTCAATCAATGTATTTTTCAATTCTTTGTTCTTATTTGAAGTTTATGTAACTTGCAACGAGTGACATTTTAGTTAATTAATACAAATTCAATTCTATTTCTACCATATTTTTTCTTTCTTGTACCTTCAAAGAAGTCTTTAATATGTTTAAGGCATAGAACTTGACGAGGACAATGACCCACATTATCTGGGAGTGACTTCCACTTCCTTCTTATAAGCGTACTGGCCCCCTCCACCTTGTATAAGGCCTTTAAAACCATGAGGAGGGGACAACAAGATCCGTCCCTCAACCCCAAATCAGACAATATCTACAGGGGCATGCTTAGCCTCTTATGCCCCTGAAGATATAGTCCGCTTTGGGGTTGAGAGACGGGTCTTGTCATCGCCTCTCACGGTTTTGTTCCTCCTTGAAGGAAAAGGCCTCATACAGGGGGGAGGGTAAAGCATGTGGCTATTTCCACTAACCCGCGCTCGCTCACCTTGCATGATACTGTCCGCTTCGGGGTTGACGGACGGATCTTTTAGTCCCCTTTCCTCACGGTTTTAAAGGCCTCATACAAGGTGGTGGGGGCTAGTACACTTATAAGGTGGAAGTGAGAGTCCTTCTCAGGCGATGTGGGACATTGTCCTCATCATAACCCCCCAGCTTACTAGGCCGTAACAGTGAGAGAGTTTACCAGACAACCCTCCTTCTAGTGCCAAATTTGCATGCTTGGCCTCTCACGCCTCTGTAGATATTGTTCACATTGGGGTTGAGGAATGAATCTTGGCGTCCCCTCCTCATGGTTTTGTTCCTCCTTGGAAGAAAAGGCTCATACAGGAGGGAGGGCAGAGCATGTGACTGTTTCCACTGACCTTTCTCATTCACCTTGTATGATACTGTCCGTTTAGGGGTTAAGGGACAGATCTTGTCATCTCCTCCTCACAATTTTAAAGGCTTCATACAAGGTGGAGGAGGCTAGTACGCTTATAAGGTGGAAGTGGGAGTCCCTCTTAGGCGATGTGGGACATTGTCCTCATCAGAACTTAACTCCAAGTCAAATCTATTTTTCTGTCGATTAACTTCTATCGATTGATTGGAACGCATAGTGGGACATTTCTAATCTAGAGTAATGGCGAAGAAGAAGTAGACTGACCTTGGTGATACTAGCAAGAAAACAGTGGAAGATGTTGGTCATCTTGGAAACTCTAGTAAGAGGCCTATCGAAGACAGTGGTTTTTCCACTGGTCTTCTTGAGTATGGGAAAGATATGGAAGTCATTAGTGACAGTCAAGCAGTGGATGCTAAGTACGGAAAAGACCAAGTCCTATTAAAGTCAAAAATCCCTAATCATAAATCCAACCTTGGACCAAGTTCATCAGTCATGGCACAACTGCATTCATTACACATTAGACTATATGTTCACTTTCATTTTATGAGGTGCTAGGTTTGTAATTTAATAATGTCATCATGGTTGGTAGAGGTAGAGGAAAACATGTCGCAGTCAAACAAGAAATGCATCCCATTTTGAAAGTCTAGGGTTTGAGAAATCCCAACCCTAAAAAATGCAACGCAATCCTAAAGGATTAACTAGATGAGTTTGAAAAGTTGAAAAAATGTATCATTGCAACCAACATAGAGCTTTCCCAAGAAATTTCTCATTCTTTGGTTATTCCACTGCGAGAGATAAGGTACTCACAATCTGTTTCTGTGTAGGCCATCACCAACATGATAGCTATTTTGGGTGAAACGGTTTTTGTGTCCCCTCCACCAGCTCTAGTTTTACCTATAACAAGACCAACCAATGTCTTTGCAGAAACATAATCCACAAAACAATTCATTTACTACTTTTGAACCACCACTGGAGTTTTTTAGATATCTTCCTTTAACAGCCCAATTCTTAAGGGCGCAAGGTGTTGAACTTGGGGGCAACCTCCCAGGTTTCAACCATTAGAAATTAGAGACAGCTAGAACTCTCAAAACTTTCAGAATCAAGATCTTCAAAACTAGAACCTTCAGAATCAGCAGAATTCCCAGGGAGTTGGTCCTATGCCTATTCCAAATGGCTAGCCCCACTTACCTTCCTTATGGTTTCAATAATTACCCTTACCTCTATTGCTTTTGAAATTATTATTAGAATTCTCCCACTGTTCCCCTCTGTTAGGCTATAACAGAATTTACTGATGTCATACTAATGTTATAGATTATAATACCAAAAATGACGAATTGTTCATTATTTACCTTATCTATTCAAATGAGAAATTTCACTCACCTCCCCAAAAGTTTCGCATATATATTATCAAAATCCATACATATTTTAGCATTATTTAATAAAACTCTTAAATTTCATGTAATATTAAATAAAGCCTTAAATTGTTAAGGCATTATTAAATCATTTAATGAAAAAAATAATAATAATTTCTATTGATAAAATATTTAAAAATAAACAATCTCTCTAAAATTAATGTTAGATAACATTCTAATAATTTAATATAAGACTTATTTCACACTATATAAACAACGTAAAATTTATCAATTTTAATTAATGCATTTATTATTTAAATGGAATATATATTTATTTTTTTTATTTTTTAAATCATATAAAAAATATTAACCTGCATTTTTAAAAAGAGAATTATATGTAACTGAGATTGGAAAAAAAAATTATCAACATATGAGAGGTGCAAGTGTACTTGCATTTACAGTCTTTTATTTGTATCCCATTACAGACACACTTGCACCCGTATGTGTTGTTAATTTTTTTTTTCTTTTCTTACCTGCATGTAATTCCTTCTTTTTTAAATATGTATTAAGTAGAAGTTTAATGCTCAAATGATAAAGTTAAAATTTGAAAATAATATATGATTGAGAAATATAAAATATATATATTTTTACATAATGAATAAATAAGTAATGTAAATTTTCGGAAAAAAATAAGTCCATTATTTCAACTTTTTTTTTTAAAAAAATTC